CCCTGCCCCTGCTCGACAATACACCCCAGTGTGCTTAGCCATTTGTGAAAGGTCAGAAATGAACTGAGAAACGGGTTGCAGTTGAAAACATGTGGCCCTATAAATATCAGAGCCTGACGGTTGAGCCCGTTCCCTCTCAGTCTCCACTGTGGTGGCTCCTTGTGTCTGTCTCGGACTGTGGCGCTGTACAGAGCAGGCAGCGGCTGGGTTCTTCTGCTGCCCAGTCTGGTCCCGGGAGCCATCAGTAGAGGCTTCTTTGCTTTTCTTTAATCTTGAATAATTCTGGCCACGAAGCCCTAGCAGTCTGGTCTGCGATGTTCTGCACGGATTCCAGGGCTCCCACTTCCCACTAGTGGCAACCCTGCCTTGTGACTTAACTGGCCACAAACAGTGCCTCGAGAGCTGAGGAGTTTGCTGATTTGGGCTCGCGTCAGAGCGCTCGTCATGACTTTGGCGGCCAGACTGGACAACCTCGAGGTGACGCTGGAGCATCTGCTCATGGACGTGTTTGTAAGTAAATGCCCCTGGCTCTTCTAATCAATAATTGTCCAAGCCCCGCTCGATGTCATTGTTCCTTACTCATATGTCCTGGAGAAAGGAGATAAATGCCTGAGTGGCACAGTCCACACACATTGGATAGCAGAGGTGCCACTGCATAAAACCAAGTGGTGCGCAGAGGTCTGAATGAATGGGTGAAGAAATACACAGCTCTTGGCAGGAGAGATCAAAGCAGCTCCAGCAGGCGTTCCTCGGGAGACCCGGCTCTGTCTGTGAAGTGAAGGAGTCATTCCCAGAAAGAAACAGAGAGGGGACGAGAGTGGTGTTCCAGTCCTGACTTGTTCGTGTGGCGGTCAGGGCGGCGAGTGCAGAACCAGTGGGGCCTCCCTGCCTTTAGGCCCCAGTGCCGCGCTCTCACTGCCTCCTCACGGGTCACAGCAGTGTGCTACCTCGGGCCGACCTGATGGGGTAAGGCTGAAGAAGACAAGGGCAGCTGACACGGACACTCCTGTCCCTGCCACGCTCGAAGCCCCTGGCATCCGTGGCCACCCAAACATGGCTCCTGGCCCGCCTGACCCCAGCTGGTCTCAGGGTGTGCGCTGTCCCTTCGCGCCACGTTCAGGGCAGGTTCAGGTTTAGGGACAGCAGCCTGGGCACCAGGCAGGAAGAAAGAGCTGAGAGGAGCTCCCCTTCCAACAACACTGGCGCTGCCCTCAGAAGGTGGCTGTGGGCCACGCTGCAGAGCAGCCAGACTGCGCCTGGATCCAGAAGGGGCCCCGGAGGCCTGGCCTTTCTGTGCTGTCCGTCACCGTGTCCCTTTCAGGAACCTTCCAGGGGCTGGTGTGTGTTGGCAGATATGAGTCTAGAGCTTTGTTCTGTATTAATTTGAATTTGTCTTCAAACTGAGGCAGCATCGAGCTGGCAGGAAGCCAGCGGGGCTCAGCCTCCCCTCCCAGTGAGGGGCTTGTATACTGGGTGGTGTGGCTGGAGGGGCTGTGCTCCGGGCAGGGTCCACGGCCAGCCCCAGCCTTTGTGGGAAACCAGAGGTGATGCTGCCACTCACTCCATCACGCCACAGCTGGCTCTGCTCTCTGCTGCTGACTTGAACCAACCTTAAAATTCTTTTCCTGCATCCAGGGCTTCTCCCTGTCAGATTGCTGACCAATCTCCCCAGTCTGGTTAAGTCTTAGGTGCGGAGCACTTGTCTGAGCTCTGGAGTGGGGCTCTGTGTCCCCTCAAAGAGCATCTTAAATCCCCTTTGGTTTGATCCAAAGAGTCCAAGTGACTCACAAAGATTTGGGCCAGTCACACAGACTTCAGTTACTCATGTCACCTGGGATCTTACTGCAAAGTGCCACCACTCCTCCCTCCAGCCCACAGCGCTCTTCGCTGCTGCACCTGCCTCCCTCTAGTGCCTGGGATGCAGGCTTTGTCCCCTGCACCCCGAGCTGTAGCAGCCTGTAGCTGTTCTCCCACTGCCCCAGCAGGGCAGGAGTCACCTGGTCTTGAGCTCTGCCAAGACAGGGAGGTGGCGCCCTGGGGACTCCAGCTGGCTTCTGTTGGGGCCTTTGAGCCAGGGGACATTGGGCTGCCTTCTCAGATCCATCTCCAGAAAGAGCAGGGATGTATGCACCATCCCACAGGGGGAAACCCAAATAAGAGCAAAGGGGACTTGAAATCAGGGCGCCAGTGCCGCAGCTTCCGGCCTTGCTGGAGACCCCAGGCTCTCATGAACCTAAGGGTCCAGAAGGTGCCTTCCCCACAGCCCTGCGCACCTCGGCTCCCGCCGAGGCTCACGGCACGCTCCTTAGGTGTCGCCCCACAGCTCTAGAACAGCTGCTTCCACACTGACACTTCCTCTCCAGGGTCGCAAAGAGCCACTGGGGATGTGGTGGGGTGCGTGGTTGTGCCAGGGGAGGTAAAGGGGCACATCGGGCCTGGGTGTCATCAGCACATCACCGCTCCGGGGCTGCTGGGCTCCTGGGAGGAAATGACAGGTTGTACCCGTGCGCAGGCACACGCATGCTAGGCACTGCACCAGAGGACACCTGTGGAAGGAAGTCGGTGCAGGGCTGTGTGAATGGCCCTGCCTCACCTCCTGCCAGGGCCGCTGGCACCGCCTCGCCCAGGCGTTCATGCTGCTTCCTCCACGTGTCCGTCCTCCCTTCTGCTCGGAAGGCAGAAGACGCTGCTCTCCAAGCATCTGTAGCTGTTTCCTCAGCAGATCCACAGCCTGAGCTGGCAACACACAGTGGACAGAGAGAAAACAGGAAGCACGCAGGGTCTTTGGAGCAGTCCTGTGGGGTCAAGGCCCCGACGTCCAGACCCACATTGTCCCTGCAGAAGGGGGCACTGGCCCAGCCCCCCTCCCGCTCCTGCGCTCGCCGCCCATCCTCACGTGCTGCTGGGGAGGTCCGAGTCAGGACGCGTTGTGCTCAGCCTCCCCCGGCTCGCTCCCTGTAATACTGCTCTGTTTGCAAGGCAGCCTTTATTTTGATCCAAACAGTGCAGGTGGTAGGAGTATTCACTAGCAGGCTTTGGAGCAAAGTTGTGTTGCAGCCTGCCCTACCCGAGCCCCCTGCCCTCCTGAGACACCGGGCCCTCGGCCTGGCGCCTGGTGCTGGGCTCCAGGGTCTCTGACACACGATCATATGGCGGCTTTTTATTTAATTACCCAGGTTGGGCATTTATGCCACCTCCCTGAAAGACAAGGCTCTAACACTCACTCCACACGGCTACACACACACACATGCACTTTTTTCCCCTCACAATCTTCTCAGTATATTCATATCACAGTTTAGATCAAAACTTAATTTTGTTATGACCACCAAATGTTGTTTGCTGCTGAGAAATACAGTGTAGCGATCACGCCCCTGGATCTCACAGCTGCATTCTCTGACTCTCTCCTGGGCTCGTTCCAGTGTTTGCTCAGAAGTCGTGTTTCTGCAGCCAGCTCACCGGCTCCTGCTCCCATTTTCTGCTTTGATTTTTCTCCTTTGCTCCTACTTCACCAACCTTTCTGCAGCTCTCTCCCCGCGCCCCTAGATTAGCTTCTCTCTTCGCCCACAGAGGTCTTCTTGGGCTCCTCTTCTCCGTGACTCTGCGGCCTCTGCGTCTTTCCCGATTGTCTCTCTTCACTCCCAATTCACGTCCTCCCCTTTCCAGGTTAATGTTCTTTTGCTGGCAAACGTTTTCCAGTAAAGTACTTAAGAGTGCGGAGTGAAGCTATGTATTCTTGAGTGTGCGCCCTCACCCTCACGAACAGCTCGACTGTGGCTGCTTGCGTGGTTGAGATCCAGAGCTACACTCTCAGCCTTGACTCTCCTCTTACATTCCAGCCCAAGGATTCGGGCATTGGGAGGCCTGTGTGTCCAGAGAGACTCATGTTCATCTCCCCAGAGCTTGTCCTCCTCCTGTGCATTGATCTTGACTAATGGAATCACCCTTCTCCAGTGTCTCCAGATGTCACAGAGGAGAATGTCCTTGTGCTGGACTTAGTCACGTCTCAGTTGGGCAGCTGCGGTGACCTTGCAAGTCCTCTCCTGGCTCTAGTCCCTTGGCTCTTTGTTCTGTGTGCAGCCTTTTTCCCTCTTGTCTCCAGAACGCTAGGTGGATGATGTAACTTCCTGCCTAACAGTAACTTCAAGGCCCCTTTTGCTCACAGAACGAGGTCTAAAATGTATTGTTCTGCAGGATGTAAGCCAGAGTCTGGTCTCTGACTCACTTCTTAACAGTCTCATTCTCCTGTTTGTGAATCTGTGGTCTCGCGTAATTTTTATAATAAACGGCTTTGTGCCCTGGAGGTTTAAACTTTAACAGTGAAGTGTCCCAAGCTAGTGGTGACAGTGAGGACCCCCTAATATCCTCATTCTCCTCTAAGAAGCAGTGCACAGAATGTATTCTGCCCATTCTGCCCACGGGCTCATCCTGGGAACCTCCGGCACTTGGACTTGTGGGCTGGGGTTTCCCTCTCGGGCACACAGGGATTCGCCGTATGCCTTCGGCCTCAGCACCTGTCTCTCTGACAGTCGAGGTGCCGTCCTCCCTCACTGTGGGGAAACTGATCATGTGCTAATTCCAGAGGCCCCTGGGCACGCTCCTTGCAGGGAGAGAAACCATCTGATAGTCCGGGAAAACCACCGTGTTCTGCAGCCCCGGAGAGATTGCTCCCCCACGATGAGCTGTTGAAAAAATCAGGCATTCGTGCTCTCTGCTTGGGAAAAGGGAAGCGTGGAAATTAGACAGATTTAAGAGTTGATCATTTGCCATCCAGTACTTATCAGGACACCTGAAATTTGAGAGTTAAATCTGGCAAAAATAAAAATCATCTCTCCCTAGCCATGCTTGGAAGTGAGCTCCATATATCCAGCTAATTCTCAGGAGTCAATACGATAGATAAGGACGTTATTTATTCTGCCATTCCAGTGCAATTACCGTTTTCCCTGTGCAAAGTGCACTCCATAAACCTGGCAAATCAATGCTAGTTATCAAAATCCGTCCACAACTGGCAGCTCATAAAAAAGAGCTTTGCAAAACAATCACGAAAGCCCAGCGATCCAGCCGTTCCAAGCAGGTCCGCTTTTTATCTGCTTACTCGCACAGGCGCCGGGTGATCTGATCGGACACGACCACCCCGAGCACTCAGTAAGCCAGCGCCGTGAGCCCGGTAAAGGACCTGGAGAGGGAGGCAAAAGATCTGCCTCTGCTTGAGAGCAAGATCTCTGTTGCCTCCCTTTCCGTGGGCGAAGGAAGCGCCGCCAGCGCGCTAATGCTGTCCAGGAAGCAAGGCTCCGCTAAGGCAGCGTCGGGCCCGGCCTCCGCCCTCTTCAGTCTGCTCCACCATGCGTCTGCTGCGGCCTCACCTCTGCGTAAAGACGGAAAGAGGCCCTGCAGCGCCAGATTAGCGCGCGTGAGGGTCTGTGCCTTGTTTGTGGAGTCTTCTCCTCTCCCCGGGTCCGGAGTCCTTTGCGAAGTCTCCGTCTCTGCACTGACGAGGACAGGAGATGTCGTGTGGCGGCCCGGTTCTGCACCCCCGCGCAGATGAGTCCTGCTTCTCAGGGAGTTTGCAGCTTCGGCTCGCTCCGGGAGCCGTCCCCTCCCACCGGGGCATGGCTGAGCAGTCTCTAAGGATCCAGGTGGGTGCGAAGTGCGGCTGCGAGCAGGCCCACTGTGCAGCGAGGTGGGGGAAGGCCGCTGCGGGGAGCAGAGCAACAGGAGGGAAATTGAGAGCAGAAGCGAACAGCACCCTGATCAAGAACCTTCGTGATATGAGGGCAGCGTGGGTCTAAGGCCAGTGGTCAGGAGAGGAGCTGAGGTACAGAAGAAAGGGCTCCAGGCCTCTTGCCTCGGCCCAGCAGGACAGGCAGCGGGATAGACAGTGTTTGGGGAATGCAGATGGCGCCGGCCCGACCCTGCTCCCTCTTCCTTCACCTTCAGCTCTCGTTGACAAGGCGTCTGAGGCTAAAGGCATCAGTGTACTTAAAAACTTTGGATCAGTCCCTGCAGCAGGGCGCCCCCGAAAGGCGTACATTGCTTTCTCTGGCGCTCAGTGAAATACTGTCGAATGGACCGTGTAACATAAGCAGTAGAAGGAAATAAGACCTTGGGTAGATGGCCAGCATGGAGCACAACGTCCTCTCAGGAGCAAGGGCCTGTGGTGGCACCTGTCCCTGCAGGGCTCGCGCGACCCTTCTGTCCACACTTCCTTCATTGCCCTGGCTTCTCGTGGAGAGGGACTACAGGAAGGGTCAGAGGCAGCCCAGCCAGAGGAGGGAAGGAAGAGGGGAAAGGAGGGATGTGGCAGGGAGGGAGGGAGGCTTACCTGCCCACCCAAGCCAGCCAGTCCTCCCTGCAGCACGCTGGGGACGCCATGGGAGAGAAGGTCCTGTCCAAGGGAAGCGCAGTGCCCTCCAGGTGGACGCTCGCCCTGCCCAGCCACAAGTCCGCAGCCCCAGGGCCATGCACCTGATGTCCAAGGGGTGTGTGACGTCTTGGTCCTGTTCTCGGGACACTGGGCTTCCTGTTTGACCTAAACTCTGGCCCCTTTCAGGCAGAGTTTTGGGGTGGAGGCTGCATTTCTGTTTGTGGCGCCGGTCAGCTTCCGTGACTGATGTCATCCAGGTTGGCAGAGGCGTGGCGGCCGAGACGGGCTGCAGTGTTGAAGAGACACAGGGCTCCCTGCCAAACTCCTCCAACTCTGGGAATTTTCCAATTTTGTGAAGAGAGTTTGCTTCACATGTATGTTTAGCTCGACTTCAGTGTTGTTCATCCTCTTCCTGTTTCATTTGACAGTAATTAAAACCCAGGCTTCATTCAGAGCTATGGTTTTTCCCATCCCCAGCTCAGGGCTGGTTTGGGCCAATGGCTATAGTGGCAAAATGGTGTTTGGGTTCGTTCTCTGTGTTCCTTGGAGGGTGTCCCCCCCACCTCACTCCCAGAGCTGCCCTAGCCCTGCTAGGGTTTCAGTGGGTGGAGCGGGAGGAGTCAGAGCAGGGCCCCATTCGCCGGGTCCCTGACAGCTGGCAGGTGAGGTCACCTCTGCGTGTCACACCTGGCTCTGAGGTGCCCTTCTGCCCACCTGCTAGCCCTGACTGAGCCCTCTGGACACTGAGTAAAAGCCCCTTTTCACACGCTGTCAGGTGCTGCAGGAAGTAACGGCGGGGCGTGGAGGCGTGGAGGCCTGCCTACCTCGGGTTCCGTGTGAGTGGGACTCACTGTTTGCAAGGACAGGAATGGTGACAAAGGCAGGCCGCGGGGAGCACCTGCGTCTCACTGGTTGTGTTCGTGCACTCCGGAGGGCCCTGTGCTCCCCTCCCAGTGTTCCTGTGGGCCCGACCGTCGTGCCCTGGCCTTGGGCGCCCAGGGCGTAGCCTGCCCCCGCTCCTGCAGCGTGCCCAGCACCCCCACCTCCTAAAGTCTCGGGCCGAGTGAAGGAGGATGGCAGTGCAAAGGCGCTCACTGAGACCAGGTTCCCATTCCGAAGGGAGGCGGTGAGACATCCCAGGAGCCGAGGGCTGGGCCGGGTGGTGGGAACTTCAGGCAGGGGCACCTGCTGGGGTAAATGATAGCACACACGCGCGCGCACACACACACCCCACACCTTCGGGGCCTGCTGCTGCCTCACCCTCATGGCGCTGTGTTAAAGGCTTCCTCTCTGATGGGCCACACTTCTCTCACCCATCACCTCTTCCATCTGGAGTAGGGAAACCCATCTGCTTCCGAGCACCAAGGCCACTGGCTTTCCTGAAGTGCAGCTCCCTTGGTTCCTGCTCACGTTCCTGCCGGAGTTGTAAAGTAAACGTTTTCACTGAAACCAGAGGAAATGTTTGAAATAAACAAACAAAGCCTCCACCAGCGGAAGCACTTGGCTCTCTTCATGAGGAGCTCGAGCGGCAGCTCTGGGCGCCTTCTCTGGATCTGCTTCTCCCAGCCCCTTGGTGTCTTCGGCCTCTGTCCAGGGTCCCTGGGCCTCTCCCTGGTGCGCAGGCACTGTTCCCCCCACTCTCTGGCCAGACCTGCTCCCAGGGAAGGCAGCTGTTCCACCTGCAGCCGTCTGGATCCCTGCCCTCTTCCACTTGCTCCTGGAGCCCCTACACCCAGTCCAAGGCTGGGCACAGGTCCTGGGGCTGAGAGCACAGCCTGACCCTCTCCCTGTGCTGCCTGTGTGGCTGTGCCCAGGACCCGCCGTCACTGGGAGAGGCAGCAGCAGGAAGGTGCTGGGGCCGCCTTCCCTCCCCTGGCCTTGCACCAGGCTGCGCCCTAGCTGCATGCCCTCGCTGTTCGTGTCCCCCACCCAGTGGGTCTGCCAGGCTCCCACCCCTGGCTGGTGGCCCTGGGCTGTCCCCGAGTCCCTCAGACCCCCCATCTGGGCTGCTGAGTTCCCATCACTGTTCTGGGCCCATGTGACATCAGAGCTGCCCTCTGGCTTGTCCTCGGCCTCTGCAGACAGAGTTTCCTGCCTCTCTGGTGGTCCCCAGGGACGGCTCTCCATCCTGCTTTTGAAACTTCTGAGCACTTCGGAAGGGCTCATCCCAGGTGTGATAGTGTGGGTGGGGCCCAGACCTGGCTTGGGACTCTGGCTCTCACCTGGCCCCTTGGTCACCTTCAGAAACCCCCCCTCCTACCCTCCTCTCTTCACCTACGACACAGGCACATGAAAGTCACTTTCCCCAGTGGAGTCGCCCTTGGGAACCTCCTAGTGCCTGGCTTATGGGACCAAGTGGTGCTGTCAGCGGATATGAGGCCGTCCCCTCCTGGGAAGCGTAGTTGTATACTGGACAGGGTACCTAATCGCATCATTAACACCAGACCTGTAAATCTCAACCTTGCCAGGCAGTCAGGAAGGTGAGCTCAGGGAGCCCACAAATCACTCTGAGGAGGGGGCGCCCACCCTGGGCTCTGGCGAGGGCCCCAGGAGCAGGGAGGGTCAGGGTTGGGTCTGGAGGAAAGCATCCTGTCCCGGGGGTGGACTGCACTGAGCTGGTGTGGGAGTCTGGTCGTGGGTTATTTTTGTTTCCATTAACATTCTCTTCTGCACGTCTTTTAACCGTAATCAGATGCATGTGTTTCTGTTTCACTTGCACTTCGTTCATCGAAGGGTCTCGTCCGATCTGAACTGTGCCTCAGCTCTCAGCGGAACGCTCATTAATACCCCTGGGAAACAGGAAGTCACATTGAGTCAAATCTAAACAGATTCAGCTCTGGCTCTTCCCCGGCAGGGTGGGAGGAGAGGCAGTGACTTCTCAGCTGAGCTGTCCCTCTGCCCCCTCCCCAGCTCGGAGGGCTGGGCCCCAAGGCCGCCCGCAGACCAGTGCCTCGAAAGTGCGCCTGTCCTTTGTCCAGAGGTGTCACCCAGGCAAGTGCACTTTTAGAGAGGAAGGAGACTCAATCGCCTTGGCTAAGTGATTGGCTGCTGTTCAGTTTCATTCCCATCCTCCTCCCTGTGCTTTGAAACCAGGGGGTGTAGGCAGGAAGCAAGAAAGAAGGGGGTGTAACCCAACCCACCTCCAGGAGACACTGAGCAGCGCCCTTCCAGAGGGATGCTTTGCCTGTGGCTCCTCTGACTCTGCCACTGCACATATGGAACCGATCAGGAACAAAGCCCGATTGTTGTATATTTGGAATTTCCCACGTCAACTGGACGCAGCCCTTAACTGCCTCTAATGTGCGTCTGCGTGGGTGGACAGGGCCCACGTCCTGCCTGCGCGCCCGTCCTCCGGGTGTCTCCTGGGTTCACTTTCTAGGAGACTAAGTCTCCTTTCTGCCCTTCTTATTAGACTTGTTTGAATAAACAGAACTTTTGCTTCCTTCGTTTTCAGTGAACTAAGCTGTGGCCGTGGAGAGTAAATGAAAGCCCGTTCCCAGAGTTTATGAGTAACAGCGGCCAACGCCCGCAAGCAAGGACTGTAGGGAGGAAGCGGCGCTGCTGTGTAAAGCCCGGGACGAGACGGCAGGGCGTGTAGGAGAAGGCAGAGGTGCTCAACGGGCAGAAGCCCTTTCCTCATTTTTCCTAACAGTAGTGTTTCCCGCCATGGAAGTAAGGGAGGCAGTGGTGAGGGAGAAGGGGAGCTACAAATACCAAGAAAAGCTAGAACTGCAGGCATTCTGCCACCCACCTGAGAAGGCCGATCTGGATGGCCTCGCCTGCCACCCACCTGAGAAGGCCGATCTGGATGGCCTCGCCTGCAGAAGGCTTAGCAGAGGTGCTGCGTGGATCTGGGCTCCGTGCAACCTTCCCCCGCGGCGCACATGTGCCTGGGGTGTCCACTGACACGTGTGAACACCCGTGTTCCTGGCTGCAGGTGTTTACATGGAGAGGTGCATACCTGGGGCTGTTATATTTGATGTGTTTCCTCTAAAGTGCGTGATGACGTTTTTCTCTTCTTTCTCCCACACTTTCTCTTTGTGGACTACATTCACCTAGTTAATGATATGCATGCATTACTTTCTATGCATTGGAAAGTAGGAAGTGGGAAAAAAGCCAGACCTACATATCTGACGCACAATTTCAAAGAGATAATTTATGACTGAAGAGACTCCCTCTGGGTCCCCAGGGTGCTATGTTGCTAGTCCTCAAATGCTTTCCCTGTGTGCAGAACAGGGAAATCAGGACACGGGACTGAACGTTAATCTCGCCCCAGATGGGGAGATTCCAAACAGTGCTTGTAAGGTGAGCACGTGACCCAGGCCCGGCCGAGGGGCTCGCGTCACGTGGGGGAGGGTATAAAGCCGCGCGCCGGGCGAGACAGCTGACCTGGTTACCATCGCAGCCCAGCAGAGGTGACAGTTCCGGATCGCTCCAGAAGCGCCCCTGCCCGCTGCTAGGAGCCAGCGCGGGACACAGAGCTGAAGCTGCGGGCGGGGCTGCTCTCCTCCCCACCCCCACGTCCTGCAGAGCCTCGTCTTCACTCAGTGTCTCCCGTCACTTGATATTTGGGAAACCGCCAGGAGATCCCAACTTAGTCTGGGGGAAGCCTCCATCTCTCCCTTTGCTAGGAACACGTGCACACACGCGCACACACTCACGTGCACACACGCACGCACACCATGGTGGTTCAGGCTGCAGTGGCTCCGAACAGAGCTCAGAGGCGTTTGCTGAAAATACCTTATGGATCGCTGAGGAGACACAGCGTGGACAGGGTAAGTGGGGCGCCGTTTGTTTCTCCAGAGCAAGGGAGAGGCTGGTTTTCAGCTGCCAGACCTCACTTCTGCCGCTGATGTCTTCCTGAGCTGTGGAGTCCCTCGGACGGTAGATGAAATGTCATCATTTTTTCCTGGACAGATAACGATAAGATATGTGAAACAAGTTTTGGTCGGGAGGACGTGGGGGTCTTGTAGAGATGAAGTACAAGGAAGGCTGGGGGACACGGTGGGAACGGGATGAGAGGTAAGAGGGCTCGGGAGAAGCTCAGACTGGAGTCTGGGATTCCCTGGAGCACACACTCCTGAGAGCTGCCTGCGGACCCTCTGCTGTGCAGGAGGGAGGAGGCAAGGGTGAGGGTCAAAGGGGCATTGCCGCCGAGCCACATAGCCCTTCCAGACACACGGTTGTGGCTCCATCGCTGTCTTTGCCCTGGTTTGTCTGGGACACTGTTGTTCGGGCTCCGTGGCTCTTAACTTCCTGAAATCGGGTACTCTGTGCTGCCCCTGGACGAGAGATCTGCTCTTCTCTGCACGCAGGAGGCAGGCAGGGCCAACTGTAATCAGTGCCGAGCTGGCTGTCCAGAAGTGGGTCCTGCTCGGGTGTGAGCATGGCCCATGGCTCTCAGAAGCCCCCAGACCCTGTTTGCACCCTGGCTGGGAGCTCCTGGTGCCCACACAGGGATCTCAGCTCAGGTTACAGCCCCCAACCTAATAAAGCAGACAGGAAAACATGAGATCGTAACTAACCTACAGCAGCCATAAATGGAGCAGACTTTACTTCTAGTGACTCTCTGGTTTGTATACTTACTGTTCAGGAATTTTCCAACTTAGAGGAAACTCACTTAAAGGTTTAAACATGTAAAGGGCTGACTGGAATGCGTAGCAGAGCTGATGGCCTGACTCTGATGAGTTACTTCCTCTGCCATTTGAGTAATTGTTTTGAAACCTTCACTTCCTATTCCCATTTTGGTTGCATGTAGGTCTTTATTTTGAGACACATTCTGTACTCATTGTCAGGATTATCAACTAGGACTTTTTTTTTTTCTTTTTTGGTGGTCCTGGGGATCGAACCCAAGGCCTTTTCACTGAGCTGCATCTCTAGCACTTCTTCCATTTTGAGACAGGCTCTTACTAAATTGCCAAGTTGTTGGTACTGGTCTCAAACTCGTGATCCTGCTGCCTCCGCCTCCCAACATGCTTGGGTTTTAGGACTGCACCGCCGTGCCTAGCTGACTGAGATACAGTGAATGCTTCTTTCACACTCCCTCTCTGCCAATAACTTTGGAGCGCAGAAACACCAAGAGAAAAATTTACAAATGTATCAGGTGCATATCGGGTGTGACTTCAAGTTCTGGTGAAAACTCTTTGGCCTATATGGTAAATGAACTTATTTGGAATGTTCCATTACTAAGATGTCTGTTCACACTAGTTAGGTGGAAATGTGAAATGTGGGCTCAGGGAGTGTGGAACTTGGCAATGTGGAGGAGACCTTTGCATAGAAGCACCTGGTAACCTCTTTTATTTTCATCTTGGTACTGAAGATTGAATCAGGGCCTTCACCCTTTTTTGAGTTGAAATCTCCCTAAGTCGCTAAGTTGGGCTTGGTAACCTCTAGTTACACCATTAGGATTTCCAGCTGGATGTGCAGTAAGGCACGTGTGCTTACACAAACCCAGACATACGCAGGTACCCCTGGCTACGCAGTTTAACAACTCAGACGCCTGCCAGGTAGCCTGGCATCCGTGGCCGCGGGTCCTCCCGACCTGTGTCTGTGTGACAGTGCTACCTTTGCAGCACCTTGCTGTCTGCCCCAAGCCCAGCCTGCACCCCTGAAGCACGGGGGAGGCGACACTAACTGGATACAAGATGCCCTGCCCTGCCGGCTCCAGCCGAACATCTGCTGCTGTGAGCGGCCCTGTGGCAATCGAACATTTACGTAAAGGAGGGCAGGAGAGGTAAGGAAGGGCCCTACCTCAGGCAGGCCCTGGGGACCTACACTCTCTCCCGGACTCCCGGGGTGAGAAGCAGCCCAGCTTTCCCAGTCATACAGCGGCCTCGGGTGACAGGCAGTGGCGTGGACCATGAAGTCTCTGCCTCACACCTGTCCTCCAGAGCTTCCTAGGCAGGGCAGTGCTTCACCTCCTCATCGCCAAGGAGGTGCCCGAGCAGGTACTGCTCCAGTCCAGTGTGAACAAGGAGGCCGAGGCAGGAAGAGCTTTGTCTCCTGCCCCAGGGCATGCAGCCAGTACAAGGCAGGATCCGAATCAGGGCCCTGGTGTAGCCAGTCCTTGGCACTGGGTCCTGTTCTGGTGCCCTGGCACCTTGGGACCATGTGACATGGCAGCCTGGCCCTGAGGAGGGGTTGTCACACCTGTCACCCAGACTTCCCAGCAGAGGGCACCTCAGAGACATTCCAGAGTGAGCATGCAGGTACAAGGACAGGTGTGCACCCGCCGTGCCCAGGGTTCGGGCTGGCTGCCTTTTCTGTTTTCCACCTGCCAGAGGTTGAGTTAAAAGTAAGGAATTTCAGCATGCATGTATGTATATATGTACTGTACTAGGGTTCCAACCAACGCCTTTGCATGTCTAGCCCCTTTTTAAAATTTTGAGATAGGATCTCAATAGGTCACTAAGTTGCCCAGATTAGGCTTGAACTTGAATCCTCCTCCATCAACCTCCCAGAGTACTAAAATTACAGGCATGATACAAACTTCAGTTTTTAGTGATGCTGCCTTGACATCCTCATATCTTGACTGGGGAAAGCACCCCACCTGGGAAACTGCTTTTCCTCATGCCTTTTCATAGGTGACCAGGAGCCCATCACTGTAATGGTCAGGGTGGTAAAAAATAGAAGAAATATAAGGAACTGTGTGTTTGGTATGCTAGAAGAGATTAGACCTGCCGGGTGGAAATGAAACCATTATAACATGGGCTAGATGTGTGTGGTGGTGCTCACCTGTAAACCCAGCACCCAGGAGGCTGAGGCAGGAGGATCACTGTGAGTTCGAGGCCATCCCAGGTGACATAGTGCGACCTTATCTCAAAAAAAAGAGAAAAGAAAACCTGGGCTAGAATTAAGGTACAAGTAAATAAGAAATAACGTGGGAAACAGCAAGGAGTGGGGAAGCTTGGCATTTAGAGGTGCTGCCAACAAACCCAGCAGCCTCCTTGCTGCTTCCTAACTGCGTGAGCTGGACAGCCTGGCACTGGTGAAGTGTGTCCCCCTGAAGTGTGGTCATCCAGTGATGCCCTGAGCACCTAGCCGAAGATCCGCCAGCCACAATGCACCTGGTGCCAGGCTTGTTATCAGGGTGGCATCTTCTCGCAGAAGACATCGACTCTGTGTTTCCAGGAACAGGGCATTGTGCACACCTGGTCCTGTCTCACACTCACGTGGAGAGGCGTTCACGGCAGTTCTCCTGAGGGAGCCCAGACAAGCAGTTTGGGAGCGCGATGGCTTCCCCTGGTCCCCACTTGTATATGAGATGTGTGGAAAACAGTGTTTCATACTTGCTGCCCTCAGATGCAGAGTGACAAGGTACTTGGCCCAGAGGGTGGGTCCTGCTGAGGCGGGTGTTTTCATTCCAGGAGCCAATTTTCTAATGAATGCAAGAGCAGAAGGTATAAATGAGCTCGAGAAAGAGAAAACTGTGGAGATTTTTTTCCGAGAGTTTGCCCTGGAGCGGGAGAATGTTTTTATTAGCTGCTGTAAAGCTACAATAAGAGGAGAAGGTTTTATGTTGGGATTACCTTCCTAGATCCGGAGCCTAGGCATACATGAGCCAGCCTTTTATGTGGCTACCTCACGTTGTTCTGGTTTGTGATATTTACGTTGGTGTGGAATCTGCCGGCCCACTGTCCGTATTCTCTGCTCTGGTTCCTACTGCAAGCTGAGAAAGGTGTGTTTCTTCCCTCCCTGGGATGCGCCCCCAAAAGGGATGAACTATTCATGCCAAGAGTTACCAAGCCCGAACATTTCCGTTCTCTCCACTGATTTTCCAGCTCAGAATCACCTCCAGAAGTGGGCACACAGTTCCATGCTGTTATTAAGCATGCTCGGCCTGCTGATATGGCCTCTCACATCCAGACCCAGAGACCGTAGGGAGGACTGGGCACCCTGCTCTCCCTGTGATCCCCCAGGCCTCGAATCCACCATGTCCAAAGTGGATTCATCCCCTCACAATCCTGCTCCTCCTCACCGGCGACTGAGGACACGCACATCACTTAGACACAGGACTCTGTGAGAAAGGTGCGGCGTGATTTTGTTGTATAA